CTTCTGTGGGTGTACGAACGTAGGCTTAACAACTTCTGTGGGTGTGTACTCCACGCCAGTGTAGTAGCCACGGTCGTCCGCAGGCCACGAAGTGAAGTGTCCGAACGTCATAGGGCGGGAAGCTGGGTGTGGGTGGTGGCGAAGAGTCGTGTGGATATTTGGTAGAGCTTGCACTGCCCCCCCACAAAGTGGGGGTATTGGCTGGCGTCGCATGAAAACCCTGGCACTGGTGAGAACACTGAGCGTTCGGGTAAAGTGATTGTTGTTGTTGTTGTTGTTGTTGTTGTTGTTGTTGTTGTTGTTGTTGTTGTTGTTGTTGCTGTTGTTGTTGTTGTTGTTGTTTGTTGTTGTTGTTGTTGCTGCTGCTGCTGATGCTGCTGCTGCTTTGAACATTATTTCTTCTTAAGAATAATTATTGTTGGGACCCCTGGTGCGCGACCCCCCCGCCGCGCCTAGGCCGCAGCCACATTTTCATCATTTTCGTGAGGAAGTCTCAGGCAAAACGATTGGTACCGGATCCGGTTTTTTGTTGACGCTCGTTTTCCCTTGCAAAAAACAATAGAAAATGAAAATTCTTGTTCTTACTTGATCAAATTGCAAGAATCCCTTGCAAAAAATAAGGTAAAGTGGACATTCGTGCGCGCAAGACGAAATCCTTCCAAAACCTTAGGTTTCGTAGCGATTTTAACATAAAAACATCAAAAACCCAATGGTTTTTTAAGAAAAAATTGTCAAAATGTCCTTCCGCGCGCGCTGTCCGAATCCCACAAAACCAATGGTTTTTCAACATTTATGTTACATGAGCTCGCGCGAGCTACTTTTTCTTGTTCTAACATAATCAAATTTCAATAATCCCTTGCAAAAAATAAGGTAAAGTGGACATTCGCGCGCGCAAGACGAAATCCTTCCAGAACCTTAGGTTTCGTAACGATTTCAACATAAAAACATCAAAAACCCAATGGTTTTTCAAAAAAAAATGTCCAAATTTCATCCCGCGCGCGCTGTCCGACTCCCACAAAACCAATGGTTTTTCAACATTTATGTTACATAAGCTCGCGCGAGCTACTTTTTCTTGTTCTTACATAATCAAATTTCAACATCCCTTGCAAAAAAAAGTAAAGTGGACATTCGCGCGCGCAAGACCAACAAAAAACACGACGATCTCAGGAACTTGCCCCAAAAATGTGACCAACTCCGCTCTCTCTGTCTCTCTCTCTGTCTGCTCTCTGTCTCTCTCTGTCTGTCTGTCTGTGTCATGTATTGTATGTCACAATTGCAGGATGCTGGGCACACGCGCGCCCCGAATAAGTGACCAAGTTCTGTGGGTGTGTACCCCACGCCAGTGTAGTAGCCACGGTCGTCCGCACGCCACGAAGTGAAGTGTCCCAACGTCATAGGGCGGGAAGCTGGGTTTGGGTGGTCGCGAAGAGTCGTTTGGATATTTGGTAGAGCTTGAACTGCCCCCCCACGAAGTGGGGGTATTGTCTCGCGTCGCATGAAAACCCTGGCACTGGTGAGAACACTGAGCGTTCGGGTAAAATGATTGTTGTTGTTGTTGTTGCTGTTGTTGTTGTTGTTGTTGTTCCACTCGCATCTTCGGTGTTTCAAAACGGCGTTCCCGCTGCAGCGTTTGCCCCATTTCAAGATCGGCGCGTTGCTCCCGTCGTTCAGAATGGCGCTCTAGCCCCAGCGCTGGCCCTCCTACTCCCGTCGTTCAGAATGGTGGTCTCGCCCCAGCGCGGACCACTTTTCCTGGATCCGAGTCCCTCGTCGCTGTCGCCCCGCTCCGTTCCCTTACCCGCCTTTCCCCTGGTCCTCCTGGTCCTCCTGCTCTTCCCACTCCAGCTGCTACTGCTGTTCCTCCTCGTCCTCATGCTTCCTCATCCTCCTCCTCTTCCTCCTGCCCATCCTCCCGCTGATCCGCGACGTCCTCAGCCAAACTACGCGGCTCGCCATTCCTCGACGGCGAGCGAGGGTGGGAAGTGTGATGGGCGGGCCTTCTCAGGAGTCTCAGAAGTTCCCCTGCCTGCTCAGATGTTTTCGAAGGCCTTCCCCGAAGACAGAGAGAACCTCCCAGACGGCGCGAGGGCGTCTGAGAAGTCCCGCCGCCTCGCCCGCCGCCAAAGTTTCGATTGCGCGCACAACGATGGGGTCCCTTTGGAGGTTCCAGGTCCGCTAGGACTCCCGCCGGCGGACGGAGAATGCATTCGTGCAGTGGGACGGGATGGGTGGGACGGGTAGGATGTCGGATGTTCTGCTCGCGCGCGAGGGATAGGATGTCGGGATGGGGGGAGGGTAGGATTTGGGAAGGGGTAGGACGTGGGAAGGGCAGGATGTGGGAAGGGTATGATGTCGGGAAGGGTAGGAGGCGCGCGCCAGGGGCGGGATGTGGGAAGGGTCGGATGTCGGGATGAGTGGGTAGGGTGGCTTGTCTTACTCCTTCCTCGTCTCTCCTCAGAGCCCCGACGTCGTGATGCTGTCTCGGCGCGTGCCACCCGAGGCTTCGGCTCGTCTTCCCCGGGATCGGCGTCGCATCCCGAGCCGTTCTTCGACGGCCCGGGGGACGGGCGAGGCTCCCCAGAGGCCGACGACTGCCCAAATCCACGGGTCGCTGTTTCCAACCCTCCTGTCTTGGGCTCTCGTGTGGAACAGAGCACCGCTCTCGCACCCTCCCACCCACTTGCCCCCCCCCCCCCGTTCCTGCCTCCTGCCTCGTTGCCTCCCTTGCTCGTGCCTTTCCTGCCTGGGGGCTGCCAGCTGGCCAGCTGCGCAAGTGTCGTCGCTTGTGTTGGCTTCTAGGAGGTCCAGCGGCGTGGGGGCCACGCGCATCCAGCTGGGATCTCGCGGCTCCTTGGAGGCTGCGAAGCGCGCGACAGTCGCCACGTTCTTGGGCTCCCGGGAGGTCCAGCCGAGTGGGGGGCCACGCGCATCCAGCCATGACCTCGCGGCTCGCTGGGAGGCTGCGAAGTGCGCATCATTCGCCATTGTCGTGGGCTCCTGGGAGGTCCAGCAGTGCGGGGGCCACGCAGTTCCAGCCGAGTCATCGTGGCTCCCTGGGTGGCTTCGCAGTGCGCAATCGTCGCCACTTTCTTTGGTCCGTCATTCAGCGCGCGGCGCTGCTGGATCACAGAGCGCTGGAGCGCCACGTAGCGCATGTCGCTGTCCTCATCGGCCCGCTCACCCCACTCATCAGGCGCCTGTCGCCGGCAGCGGCAGCGCGGGCGAACCGAGCAGATGTAGCGCATGCGGCTGTTACCTTCACCATTATGTATGTGTTCCCCTTCCTTCTCCCTCCCCCTCCCCCCCTCTTCCTCCTCCTTCTCCTCCACGTGCGTCCCCCGCTCTATGTTGCGCAGGTGAGCGACATGCGCGGCCAGACAATATTTCGCGCCGCCTTCCCGAATGGTGCATATTTCGCAATGCGGCCTTCTTGTACAGCGTTTGCGTAGACAGGTACTTCGCGTGCAGAAGGGGTCGGGTACATCTCGGGTAGCACCTCCGCAGTGCGAGGAGGTATGGGCTCTCATCCGTCTCCTCTTCCTCCATCCCCTCTCCTCTCCGATTATCTCTCCTCCTGTGTGTTTCTCTCTCCTCTCCCCTCTTCGCCACTGCTCACCATGATTACTGCTCTCCCGGAAGATGTCCCGCCTTTTCCGCGCCATGTTTTGACAGCATTGGGCCGAGCATGTTTTTTCAGAACCCAGTGTCCCCAGTCCCACAAAACATGGCACTCGCGCTGCAGCGAGGGCCTCGTATTCTCATCGGCGCTGCGCCCCCCTCGCTCAGAATGGCGCTCCCGCCCCAGCCGGGGCCACTCCTGGGCCCCACCTGGTCTCGCAGGGCCCACACGTCTCGCAGGCTTCGCGGGCCCCACGTGCCTCACGGGCCCCACGGGACCCACAGGCCTCGCGGGTCGCCCCACGCGCCCCACAGCCACCACCGCCAGGCCCCACGGGTCCGACATGTGCCGCAGGCCCCACAGGTCCCCGAGGGTGTCGCATGTCCCACGGGTCCCACCGGAGTCCCCTGGGCTCCACAGGTTCCCACAAGTCCCGCCGGTGCCACAGGTCTCACGGGTCTCGCAGATCACACAGTTCCTACTTGTCTCGCAGGTCCCTCAGGTCCCACAGGTGTTGCAGTTCTCGCAGGCCCCAGAGGCCACAGAGGCTCCCAGGTCGCAGTGGTCCGACAAGTTTCCCTTTTCAGACTGTGCATAACACGATGGGGTCGTTTCTGGAGTTCCAAGTCGGCTACGACACGCGTGCGCGGATAGAGAACAAGTCAGCGCAATAGGGAGGGATATGAGGGAGGGATAGGATGTCAGATATGGCGCGAGCGCACCTAGCTTGCCCTTCTTCTCTCTTCTCTCGCCTCCCTCCTCGCTCCTCCTCCTCCTCCTTCTCCTCCTTGCTGCTGCTCCTTATCCTCCTCCTCCTCCTCCTCCTCCTCCTCCTCCTCCTCCTCATCATCATCATCATCATCATCATCATCATCATCATCATCATCATCATCATCCTCATCCTCATCCTCATCCTCATCCTCATCCTCATCTCTCCTCTCTTCTGTCCTCCTCCTGTCTCCCTCTCCCTCTATCCCTCTCCTCCTCTCTCCTCCTCTTCCTCCTCCTCCTCCTCCTCTCCTCTCTTCTGTCCTCCTCCTGTCTTCCTCTCCCTCTCCCTCTCTCCTCCTCTCACCTCTTCCCTCCTCCTGCTCCTCCCTGCGCCTCTCATCCCTAGGGCAGGCACTACATAGGAGATGCTGTACCCGTGGATCGGGCATCACCTGTTTATGCCTTCCCCGATGTTCACCACACTATCTTCCGCGGACCCCTCTCGCGAGCCTCTGACGCGAGGCATGTGCTGTAGTGGGATGCGTGGACAGCAGATGGAGGGACGGGGTGGAGGAGTGTCGCTGTTTTGGTGCTGCTCGTGTGATGGCACACACTTGTTCCAGCTGTACCCCGTTCGTTTTGCCCATTCGGTTTCACCCCTTTGGCCTCCCGTCTTCTTGCGTCCTGTTGCGTCCTCGGATGATCTTCGGCGGCAGTCCAACACCAGACGCACATCCTCTCTCCTCCTCCTCGGAGGAGGAAGAGGAAGAGGAAGAGGAAGAGGAGGAGGAGGAGGAGGAGGAGGAGGAGGAGGAGGAGGAGGAGGAGGAGGACTGCCCCCCCCCCATTTTACCCGGGGCAGGAGGCCCGGGCGTTGCTGCTGACGTCGCTGGACCTCCAGGCCAGCCCGGCCGGCGGCGACCCGCTCTGTGGCGCCTCCCGGGCACCCCCGCGCGGGCGCTCCCACAGGTGGAAGGAGGGCAAGCCAGGAGCGCTCGCGCCATGTCTGACATCATACCCTTGCCCCCCATCCCTCACCACTGCGTAGAGTCCCTCTCCCTCCGCACAGTAGGAGGACAACGAAGGGCGTGGAGGGTCAGGAGGAGAGAGGAGCAGGAGAGGCGGGAGAGGGGAAGGGGAAGTGGCATGGATGGGCAGGGAGGGGCCAGAGAGGAGCAGGAGGAGGGGGGAGGATTTGTATTTGGCCGTGGGCTGAACGAAGGGGGACCGAACGAAGGCCAGAAAGCGAACGAAGCGACGGCCAGGGAAGACACCACGGCGGAGCGACAACGAGCGGAGTGGGGGAGGAGGCGGAGGAAGGGGGGGAGGAGGAGGTGGGGAGAGGAGGAGATGATCGAGTTTTTGGGGCCTCCACCAGGCCACTCAGGGATGAGGGCCTTGCACAGCACGGACTGACTACGGACATCAATGCCGTCATCAGTCCTGGATGAGCACGAACGGGCAGACAAGCGACTGGAGCAAGGGCAACCGATGTCCGGATCGGCCTGGCACACGCGTTCTATGGGCAGAAGGTGTTTATCGTTGCGTCCCGGTGCTTCAAAGTGTCCTTGCGATCTCAAGTCTGACCTCCCGTGTGATTGAACCCACGTTCGGCCCCAACCGGCACCGAGACAAATGTTGACGACTACGCTGACGGTGACGGTGCTGACGACAATGCTAACGACGATCCCGACGGTATTGTTGTAAGTGTTTATCGTCATGACGACGTTGATGGTGATGACGGCCACGATGACGTCGACCTTGTTATTGAGGGTATGACGATGGTCTATCGCCTTGCACGGTTTGCACGCTTGAGTCCCAAGTCCACTCCAGAGTGCCCCCAAGTGTTAAGGCGGCGCCGAGAGGAGAAGGAAGGACCCTGAGCCCCAGCCCAAGCCCCAGGCCTCCTGGCGGACAGCTCCTGTCTCGGGAGGGGAGGTGTTGGGGGGGAGCGTCGCCGTCGTCGTTGTCGTCCCTTCCCCACCTTCTCTCTCCATCTCCCTACCTCACCCCAAAGCATCTCCAGAGGTCGTGGCCAACGCCACAGTACGGGTGGTGGAGGAGCGAGGAGGTGGAATGGTCTGCATCAATGCTGCACGACTCGAGGCAGCAGAGTGGCAGCAAAAACACCATGCAGCACCCTGGAAGCAAATGCTGGTGGGGATCTGCCAAAACCAATGTTCCAGCAGAGCGTTTCCAGAATGTACCCGAACGCAGTCGGGACCCATGTTCCGGCAGAGCGATTCCGGAACATGCCCAAAACGTGGAAGACATACATTTTTTGAGCACGGGTTGAAACGGTCAAGGCGGGAACCAACCCAGCAACATGTTGTCTTGCAGTGCCTTGCCAATCCTCCCCCCCCTCCTCCTCCCCCCTTCCCCCCCCTCTCTTAGAGGGCTGTGGCTTCATCACCCGGGCCGACCTGGAGTGGCTGGACGGCTGGGAGGCCCCCAGGTGGCTCTGCGCCAAGCCGAACCAGCAGGCATGGGAGGAGCGACGCCGCCAGGGGCAGGGAGGACGGGAGGTGGAGGAGGAGGAGGGAGGAGGAAGGAGGACGAGGAGGACGAGGAGGAGGGAGGAGGTGGAGCAGGAGAGATGACGAGGATGCGGAAAAGGACGGGGAGGCTGGAGGGAGGGCGGGAGCGAGGTAGGAGGAGGGAGGACGAGGAGGAGGAGGAGGAGGAGAAGGAGGAGGAGGAGGAGGAAGAGGAGGAGGAGAAGGAGGAAGTGGTGGTGGTGCTGGGTGGTGTTGGAGATCTTAGGGGCAATGTGGGCGCTCCTCAACAACATGGGAGCGAAGGGGAAACGCTTTCAATTCCCCCTGCGGCTGCCCTCGGCCCCCCTCGCCTTCTGTCAGGGGCAACGGGCCGAGTCAGCGGGGGCCCCCGCTCGGTACTGCCTGCGGCAAGTCCCGCCACGGCCTGCCGTCGCCAGCTTTTGCCCGCGCGTGCGCCGCCGCCCAGGGCCGGCGTTGTTTTCTGCTCCTGCTTACGCCGCGCAGCTCGTAGTCCTGCCCGATGAGATCGCTGCCGCAGTCCCCGTGGATTGCGCCGCCGCGGCCCCGCCTCTGGTTTGGCAGGCCCCGGGCTGCTGCGGGTGAGGCTCGTCCCCCAGCCACCGAGGAGATATTGTGCCTGACCGGGCCCTTTCCGCGGCGGCAGTGCTGCATGGTGACCTTCGGGTGGCGGCCGCAATCCCCGCCTTTGCCGCGCGCAGAAGCCACGTTAGCCACGCGCCCCAGTGCCCTCGCGGCTCTTGCGGACAGAGGCGCGGTGGCGGAGTCCGCGGGCGACTTGCGCGCGCCGCCATCGAGGTTTACCGACGACCCCACGGTAGCTTGCCCACCTGTATAGGGGCGGCGCGCGCGGTCTTGTCTCCCGAGGAAGCGTCAGAGGCAGCCGTTTCGCGCGCAAGTTTAAGTCGCGCTTCTCCCGTGCGAAGTCCAAAACGCGCGTTCTTTCAGTCTTTGGCGCTTCCTACCCTGGTCTCGCTGACTGACCGATGGTGGGTCGCAATGACCCCCTGAGAATTTCAGTGGAATCCGACTTGTCGTTTGAACCCTTTCTCCGTGAGATCGTCGCCGTCGGTCACGCGCGCTTCTTCAAGCTGCTCTGCGCGTCGTAGTCTGGGAGCTGTTCCATCCCAATAGCCGCGGCGCAGGTCCCAGCTCGCATAAATATGCGGTTCTGCGCGCCGCCCCGCCCTGGGCCGCCGCTCCCGGCGCGGAATCAGCTTTGCGCGAATTGCTAGTGGCTTGGGACCGTCGGCTATCGGGGCGCCACCAGGGTCCGCCCATTCGCCGCTTGGAGGCGCTGACGGCTCGAGCGCGCGGCCCATGGCCCTGCGGGGGGGCACCCTGAGCCCTCGCGTTGCAGGCCGATCGGTCCCGCCCGTGCCCGCTCCTCCGCACGCCCCGCCCCTGGCGGCGCTTCCGCGCCCCCGCCCGCGCTTCCTCGCCGCCGCCCTCCGCGCGCCCCGAGGGCGGTGCGTTTCTTTCGCTCCGTCGCTTCGCTCCGGCCCAGCCATGCTCTCGTCCTAGAGCAAAGTGTGGCTAAGCGTCATGGCTCGGCTATAAGCCCACCAGCTAGCGTTCTAAGACTCATTTGTGGTCTGCACACTCTGCTATTCGAACTCTGTTGGCTGATATTGTCTTGTTTTAGCACATCGGTTTTGTGGCATAAGAACCTTGTTTTAGTGTTTAGAACATTGCTGGGTTCTGCGAACATGTCGTGGTTTGCCTATGGGATTGCTGGGGCGGCCGGCCCCTGCTCAGTTAAAGAAGAACTCCAGGACGGGGGGGAGGTTCGTAATTTGCGGCCTCTGGGGGGCCCTTATAGGGCCTAAAGAAGGTTCAGGGCGGAGGTCTTTTCATCGTTTTCGGCCCCTGGGGTCCCTTGCAGGCCCTCGAGACAGAAAGACCGAGCTGGGATGCAAAGCCGACCCTGGCCAGGGAAGAGGTCGGAGCTTCCGGGGGCCGCGTTGTGGAAACAGCAGAGACCATCGCACGGTTTTGGGGTTGCGTCGGTTCTTCGGCCCCCCCCCGCTCTGTCGCTGGTCGTCCTCGGCCCGTCTCTGCCTCCTTGGGCCCTCGCGTCATCTCGGGACCTCGGCGATTCGATGGGCCCTGAGAGGAGCTGAGCCCCATGATTAGGAGGCGTTCGCAGGTTGTGCTTTTTCACTCGGCTGGCGGGGGAGTTGGAGGAAGCTTTCGCGCAAAACAGTGATTAACTTTTGTTATGTGTTTCTAGTTTTCTGGTGGGTGTCAAAGGAACGGTTCAACAACAAAACATGAGTTCCAACACGCCGAGCTGAGAAAGGTACGCAGAAACGCCCTCGGTATAGTTATGAAGAGCCAAATCTTGAGTGTGTCAAACATTAAATTCAAATAACTCCTTAGTAATACTCTGATCCAACTATGATCCAACTCTTGCCCGGAACTCTGTTTCATTTTTGATTTTCTCTAAACTCTGATTTAACCCTGGTCTGAACTCCGATTTAACTCTGATTCGGCTCTGTCCCCAACCAGAGCTAAATCAGAGTTGAATCAGAGTTCCAGACCCGAGCTAATTCAGAGATTCAGCTAAACCAGAGAGATGAACCAGAGTTTCAGGCCAGAGCCAAATCAGAGTTTCGGAAGAGCGCGCCCGTACGGCACTCAATAGTAAAAGGGACCCAGCTTCAAGCTACCCCCCCTTCCTTCGAAAAGGGGGGGGGAGCTTCCGAAGCGCCACCCCCCCTCCCTTCTGAAGGGTTTCTAAGCTAAGAGGGCCCTGGCCCGGGCTTCCCTTTCAAGGCGGGGGGGGGGCTTCGGAAGTTATTCCCACCCCTCCTTCCTATTGGCCTGGACACACGGGGGGGCGGCTTCAAGCTACCCCCCCCTCCTGTGCAAAGGAGGGGGGGGGGCTTCCGAAGCTACCTCCCCCCCCTTCCTTCCGGGGCTCCGGCAAAATGGCGGAATCCTTGACGACAGGTGCGCACCGCAGCGCTAGACAACGAAATTGGAGAATATCGTCGACCCTGGTTCGTTTTCTTGCTTTCTTGTTTTCCAGGCCCCTGGTCCGTAGTCTCGTTTTCTCGGGCCCTGATTCCGTTTATCGTTTTCTCATTTTCTCAGCCCCTGGTTGGTTTTCTTGTTTTCGTGTTTTCGGCTCCTGGGTTGCGGTCTCGTTTTCTTTGACCCTGGTTCGTGTTCTCGTTTTCCTGTTTTCTCGGCGCCTGGGTCGTGGTCCAGTTTTCTCGGACCCTGCTTCGTTTTCTCGGCCCCTGGGTTGTGGTTTTCTTTTCTCGGACGCTGGTTAGTTTTCTCGTTTTCTCGTTGTCTCGGCCCCTGGGTGGTGGTCTCGTTTTCTCTGACCCTGCTTCGTTTTCTCGTTTCTTCGTTTTCTCGGCTCCTGGGTCGTGGTCTCGTTTTCTCGAACCAAGCGTTTTCTGGTGATCTCGGCCCCTGGGTCGTGGGTCGTTGTCGCGTTTTCTCATTTCCTCGGCTCCTGGGTCGTGGTCTCGTTTTCTCTGGGCCTGGTTCGTTTTCTCGTTTTTCGTTTTCTAGGCCTTTGGGTCGTGGTCTCGTTTTCTCTGTTCAGGTTCGTTGTTTCGTTTTCTTGTTGTCTCGGCCCCTGGTTCGTAGTCTCGTTTTCTCGGACCTTGATTCCTTTTACCGTTTTTTATTGTTTTCTCGGCCCCTGGGTCGTGGTAGTGTTTTCTCGGACTCTCGTTTTCGCGTTTTCTGTGCCCTCGGGTCGTGGTCTCGTTTGCTCGGACTTTGTTTTGTTTTCTCGTTTTCTCGTGTTCTAGGCCCCTGGGTCGTGGTCTCGTTTTCTCGGACCCTGATTCGTTGTTTTCTTCTTCGTTTTCTCGGATGTTGTTTTTTTGTGTGTTGTTTTTTCGGGCCCTGGTTCGTGATCTCATTTTCTTGTTTTCTCGGCCCGTGGGTCGTGGTGTCATTTTTCCTCGGACCCTTGTTAGTTTTCTCGTTTTCTCGCGTTCTCGGCCCCTGGGTCGTGGTCTCGTTTTCTCTGACCCTGGCTCGTGGTCCCTTTTTCTCGGACCCTGGTTCGGTTTCTCGTGTTCTCCGTTTCTCGGCCCCTGGATTGTGGTTTTGTTATCTCTGACCCTGGTTGGTTTTCTCGTTTTCTCGGCCCCTGGGTCGTAGTCTCGTTTTCTCGGGCTCCGGTTCGTTTTCTCGTTTTCTCGTTGTCTCGGCCCCTGGGTCGTGGTCTCGGATTCTCAGGCCCCGGTTCGTTTTCTCGTTTTCTCGGCCCCTGGTTTTTTGTCTCGTTTTCTCGGCCCATGGTTTGTTGTCTTGTTTTATCGTTTTCTCGGCCCCTGGGTCGTGGTCCAGTTTTCTCGGACCCTGATTCGTTGTCTTGTTTTTTTGTTTTTATCGTCTCCTGGGTCGTGGTCTTGTTATCTCGGACCCTTGTTCGTTTTCTCGTTTTCTTGTTTTCTTGGCCACTGGGTCGTTGTCTTGTTTTATCTTTTTCTCGGCCCCTGGGTCGTGGTCTTCTGACCATGATTTATTGTCTTGTTTTCTTGTTTTATCGTCCCCTGGGTCGTGGTCTTGTCTTCTCGGACCCTTGTTCGTTTTCTCGTTTTCTCGGCCCCTGGGTCGTGGTCCAATTTTCTTGGACCCTGGTTTGTTTTATCGTTTTCTTCTTTTCTCGGCTCCTGGGTCGTGGTCTCGTTTTCTCTGTTCCGGTTCGTTTTCTGGTTTTCTCTGTTCCTGGGTCGTGGTTGGGTTTGCTCGGGCCATGGTTCGTTTTTTTGTTTTCTCGTTTTCTCTACTCGTGGGTCGTGGTCTCGTTTTCTCTGGCCCCGGTTTGTTTGATCGTTTCTTGTTTTCTCGGCGCCTGGGTCGTGGTCCAGTTTTCTCAGACCCTGTTTAATTTTCTCGTTTTCTTGTTTTCTCGGCCCCGGGTCGTGGTTTCGTTTTCTCGGACGTTGGTTTGTTTTCTCGTTGCCTCGTTTTCTCGGCCCCTGGTTCGTAGTCTCGTT